AAATTGTTAAATAATTATTATATACAACGGTATTTTCAGCAAATTTAATTTGTCCAATAGAATCTAATTTTAAGTCATGTGGTGCAAATCCAGTGTTTAATGTTGTCTATGTGTGTATAGGGTTTTTAATACGCTTTAACACACACCATGTGTAAGTTGATAAGTGGACATTTCCTCCTTAAAACCGCAGTGAACCAAAGACAGTCTCAATGCTGCATTTATTTGATTAAAAATACACCAAAAATAGTGATATTGTGAAATATTACTCCAGTGTAAATCATCTGTTTTCTGTGTGAATATACAGTAAAGTGTAATTTATTCCTGTGATCAAAGCTGAATTTACAGCATCATTACTCTAGTCTTCAGTGTCACATGATCCTTCAGAAATCACTCAGTTTATGATTATAAATGATAATGATAAGCTCCAGGACCAGCGCTGGTCTGAGATCAGCCCATAGTGTGGACGAAGGACTTGTGAACTTCTCTGTAAGCGTTTCTCAGGAGAACGTACGGGAAACACATCTCCAACATGTCTTGACTCAAGAACGGCGACTGATCCACGATCTGCAACACACACAAGAGGAAACACGTCATTCATGAAGCATTTCTAGATCCTGAGCTCATAATAATCCTCCAGAGATTCGTTACCATGTGAAGAATGAGATAAACTGAGTCTCTGTTCTTTATTTCCACTCGCTCCACATTCTGACCAAGCTGGAGTAAGATGGAGGACGCCACCTACACACACACACACACACACATTACAGATGAGATGTTCTGAGTGATGTGAAGCAGTGTGTGTGTTTGTGTGTGTGTGTTTCACCTTCAGGAACTCCTGGAGTTGTGTTTGTATGTTCTTCCTCTGGACGGTGAACATGGCGGCCGCCAGATGATTGACTGCAGTGGCCAAACAGTGGATGTTGTTCTGGTGACCTGGAGGAACAGCACAAGCTCAGTTTGATTTCTATTGCACATTTACACGTGTTCACTGTTCACGCCGGACCACTTCATGCGTTTCTGTGATCTGATCGGGAAAAGACCCCACCAGTATTTCTGATCATATTCACAAAACTTCCATGGCACCCAGAATATTTTCTTGAACCATTTTATTCTAGCTTATTATCAACACTTGTGGGTTGTCATCCAGATGGGATTCAAATGGATTTATGATGGACAGATGATCTTTATAATGGATAGATGCACTTTTATAGACTTCAAAACAGAAACCGGCTGCCATTACACATGTGTTCATCAGGCATAAAGCTTGAGATGATCTCCATTCTCCGATCATCCACCGCTTCTGTCGTCTGTGAGACTCAAACTCACCTCCCAGTTCTCGGCTGTAGAACGAGTTGGGATCCAGACACAGGCTGGGCAGGGACACGGCTATATAGACCATCAGAAGACAGCTGATCTTAAACTCCTCCTCGAGCGACAGGTTGTCTGGCGAGGAGAATAACAGGTTACACACGGAAACAATCAGATTAGATTATCGAGAGACATTCCTGCTTTATCAGGACTTCACCTGTCTGCATGTTTGCTATCGCCGTAACCAGTCCAGGGTCGATCTCACATCTCAAACCAGCAGCCGAAGCCAACTCGAACACACCGAGAGTCATCTACACGAGATCACACGCGAGGGCCGTCAGTAAACAGGACAAGAGTGATGGTACCATCAAGAGCGTTTCATTAACAACAATCATAATCGTTTAAGAAATGATTGCAGATTATAAACTAGATGTGCTGTGTTTGACAGAAACCTGGCTAAAACCAGACGATTACTTTAATCTCTTTACTTTGAGTCGCCCCCCCAAGTCTCCATTTATAAAGCGTTTTTTAACAATATGGAGCTTTTCAAAGCAGCTTTACAGTGATAATAAGAAATGAAAGTAACAGAGATTGATTTGGTTTTACAGCAGCTCTAGAGTAAAGTTATTGTCCCGCTAAAGTTAGCTTTCATCGATTCACTTTCATTGCAACGATCATTAAAGATTATCTTAGATTAAAGATCCAAGGTTGTGGTACAATGAGCACACTCCGAGAGAGACCAGAAACATGGAGCGAAACAGGAAGAAAACTAAACTAGAGCTGAATGAGTGAATGACTGAATGATTGAATGGATGAATGAGTGAATGACTGAATGGTTCACCTTGATGTCGAGCTCGGGCTGGATAAAGTCCTTCAGACATTTGACGGGTCCCATGATAAACGGACAGTGTCTGTCCATGATCTACAGATGGAGATGCCCAGTACAGTGATGTTATAGCAGTATATTACAGCATTTATTATTATACAAGATCTGACAAATACAGATATAATATTAGTGAACATGAACAGCCTCTCACCTCGGCGAGAGCATCTTGGACCATGGTCCGAAAAGACAGAATCACCCCAATAATGGTCATTCTCTTCAACACATTCTCACAGCCTGGAGAACATCAGATAGATCAGCGTTTCATTACAGTAAGAAGACAAGAGAAGATTTGTGAACGAGTGAAACACTTTAGTTTTTACTCTATACTTTTTAATCAAGATATCCTAACTGGACGACTGAAACGACTTCACTTTGTGTAAACGTGATGCTTATGTTCGTACAAATGTAAGGCATTTTTACCCATTAAAACAACACTGCAACAGTTGAGTACTACATGTGAGTAGTAAACTACTATGTGAGTAAACTACTATGCGGGTAAACTAATATGCGAGTAAACTATGTGAGTAAACTACTATGTGAGTAAACTACTATGTGAGTAGTAGACTACTATGTGAGTGAACTACTATGTGAGTAGAAGACTACTATGTGAGTAAACTACCATGTGAGTAAACTAATATGCGAGTAAACTACTATGTGAGTAAACTACTATGTGGGTAAACTACATGTGAGTAGTAAACTACTATGTAAGTAAACTACTATGCGGGTAAACTATGTGCATAAACTACTATGTGAGTAAACTACTATGTGAGTAAACTACCATGTGAGTAAAACTACCATGTGAGTAAACTACCATGTGAGTAAAACTAATATGCGAGTAAACTATGTGAGTAAACTATGTGAGTAAACTACTATGCGGGTAAACTAATATGCGAGTAAACTATGTGAGTAAACTACTATGTGAGTAAACTTCTATGTGAGTAAACTACCATGTGAGTAAACTTCTATGTGAGTAAACTACTATGCGAGTAAACTATGTGAGTAAACTACTATGTGAGTAAACTACCATGTGAGTAAACTTCTATGTGAGTAAACTTCTATGTGAGTAAACTACTATGTGAGTAAACTTCTATGTGAGTAAACTACCATGTGAGTAAACTTCTATGTGAGTAACTACTATGCGAGTAAACTATGTGAGTAAACTACTATGTGAGTAAACTTCTATGTGAGTAACTACCATGTGAGTAAACTTCTATGTGAGTAAACTACCATACGAGTAAACTTCTATGTGAGTAAACTACCATGTGAGTAAACTTCTATGTGAGTAAACTACCATGCGAGTAAACTTCTATGTGAGTAAACTACCATGTGAGTAAACTTCTATGTGAGTAAACTACTATGCGAGTAAACTATGTGAGGGCTTTAGCTTGAGTAATGAAGAGTACCTGTCAGCTTCTTCTGAAGGTCAACCATTGCCTCAGGTTTCTCATAGTTAGCTCTCATTTGCACCAGGACATCCATGTTGTCACTTACAAGTTTCTGAAAATGAAAACATGATTTATTTCAATCATGCACACACTGAATGACTGTAGATTAGCCATGTTTGTGCTTTAGAGAGATGTCATACCTTCAGTTCTCCAACTTGGGATATGATGTGCCACATGAGGTTCTCATTTAAAAACTTCATTCCATACGGGCCGATCAGCTCAGCCAACGATCGCAAACCTGCAGACAAATGAGTGTGTGATAAATATCAAACCAACATTAATGCATTTGGTTCCGGCGGAATAGATTTGCAACACTTAATGTTGCTGCTAATGCGCCACCTAGAGTTTCATGACAAAACTACTTTGTATTTTATGTTACTGTTGCTATTATTAACCCTTCACATAATGTTTAGCTAGTGTTTGACTGTTGCAATCATTGGGGTTGCGTTATTTCAATTTCTTCTGCCTCAGGAACTAAATCAGGCTTAAACATCTCTGGCTCTATCACTGCGTTTGCCGTCTCGAGTATCAACATATGACATGCTTTAAAAGAGGGCGTGGATGTGGTGCGATGAAGTTAGCCAATCACAGCAGCGAGTGTTTACTTCCATTACTGCAATGCTCTTAATAATGTAATGCTCTTCAAAAATAAGTGTTTGAATGAAGATGAAAATAATAACTATTACAAATATTGGAGCTTTTTGGTGCATAAACTGTAAAAAGTTTAATAAACTAACCTTGAGAAACGTAATATAATATGTGAAACTGCATTGCATGTCCCTTTAAGGATGCATGAATGGAATGAAGCTGAAGGGGTATACAGATGCAGTGGCTAGTGCAAAATGTAAAATAAACTATTTAGCCTGAATATTTATCTGAAATATCTTAATTTTGATCTTACCACCGATGTCGGAGTATTCCTCGGCGCGGAAGCTCTGCTCATTCTCAGTGTTCTGGTTGATGAAGCACTGTATGGTGGGACAGTGGACTATGAGAGCGCTGCTGGCCTGGCGCAGGAGACCCTCCAGATACCTGACCATAGGACAACACACACACACACACACAGCGTCCACATCTACACCAGACACCACAAAACACTTAAAGTGCAAATCCCATACTTAGAACCACAGCACGACTCTATGTGTTCAATAAAAGCAGTCAGCTGGATCTATCAGCAGTGTTGGGGAAAGCTCCTTTAAATTAAAAGCAACTAATTGTGAAAGTTTGCAAAGTAATGCATTTTTACTTATTCTCACCTGGGCTAGGCTTGTATACAACTTTCACTTAAAGGCTCTTTCACACTAGAGTTTTTAATGAAAGGTGGCACGACCTGCACAGTTTGCGCTTCGCTGCCGTGACCTCGTTCTCATCTTGTGTTTGATCACTCCTGGTCTAAACGGTTAGTAAAGGACTCTTTAACCAGCGGGACACACACGACCCCCCGGAGGTCTCACCAGTTAGTGTAGAGAGTTGTGATGGTCTGCGCCCCGTACGAGTCGAGTGGCTGGGTCTGCTGTAGCAGGACGCTCTTCACGAGCCGAGACACGTCGACGCTGATGTAGCAGCCGAGGCTCTGAAGACTGGACGTGTACGCCTGAATCCCGGCCAGCAGGTCCGAGGGACGGGCGATCTCGTGCGTGCTCTGGTTATACCCCGCCATCTGCACGATTACCCTGCACACATCGGCGGGTTAGGCTGAAGCAAACAGCGCTCTCAGAGGAGATTAATCATAATAATTCAGAGAAATAACTAGCTATTTCATCAATATTTACAGCTGTGAACACTCTCAAACAAGCCTTTAAAGGAATATTCCGGTTGGAGAACTTGTGTCGTAAAGTTGATTGCCACAAAAATGAATCCTAGTCCTGATTACAATGAGGCATGTACAATGTAAGTGAAATGAATGTTGAGGCTGTAATCGTTAAAATAATCTGCTTTAAAAGTGTAACCACAAAACATCACCTGCTGCTGCTAATGAAGCCCTTGATGGATGAGTCTGCCCGTGTCCTTTTCTGTTTAACGTCTAATTTTACAACTTTATAGCTATGATGCCCATATGGAAGCTTGTTTCTGCCACTGAATAAAAAAAAATGTAAAAATTATTGCAACTTTTTATCTCACAATTGCATGATATAAATTCAGAATTGCGAGATATAAAGTCAGAATTGCGAGATATAAAGTCAGAATTGCGAGATATAAAGTCGGAATTGTGAGATATAAAGTCAGAATTGCGAGATATAAATTCAGAAATGCGAGATATAAATTCAGAATTGCGAGATATAAAGTCGGAATTGCGAGATATAAAGTCGGAATTGCGAGATATAAAGTCGGAATTGCGAGATATAAAGTCGGAATTGCGAGATATAAAGTCAGAATTGCGAGATATAAAGTCGGAATTGCGAGATATAAAGTCGGAATTGCGAGATATAAAGTCGGAATTGCGAGATATAAAGTCGGAATTGCGAGATATAAAGTCGGAATTGCGAGATATAAAGTCGGAATTGCGAGATATAAAGTCAGAATTGCGAGATATAAATTCGGAATTGCGAGATATAAATTCAGAATTGCGAGATATAAAGTCGGAATTGCGAGATATAAAGTCGGAATTGCGAGATTTAGATATAAAGTCAGAATTGTGAGATATAAAGTCAGAATTGTGAGATATAAAGTCAGAATTGCGAGATATAAAGTCAGAATTGTGAGATATAGAGTCAGAACTTGTGAGATAAAAAGTCTCAATTACCTTTTTATTTTTCATTCTGTGGCGGAAACAAGCTTCCATATGCCTAAAACTCTAAAACAATGGACAATTTTACATAATTTAACATAAAAATTATGAATACTTTTTCTTTTTAAATAAAATGACATGCCTCACATGTCTGGTTTCATTGTTTGCGCCTCATGATAATCTTGATTTTTTTGTTTAAATAAAGCGACGTAACCTGGATATTCCTTTAAGAAGATTCCTTGGAGAGGACGTTCCTCATCCTGTGCTGTGATGAGCAGTGAACACTACAGAAGTGAGTGTACTTGTTGAGTCTGATCTCCAGCTGTGTGAGCAGGAACTCGCCCGGCACGACGATGTGTTTGAAGACGGTGAAGTCGGCGCAGACGCTGTAGGAAGCGCACAGTTCTGTCAGCGCCAGGTGCATCTTATCCAGACTGCAACAGAAAAGCCGTCAGCTGCACATCTCTGTGAAGATCATATCTATACTCAATCTGTCGGATCATGCATACTTTGTGACGAAGGCTCTGTCCTTCCTGAGGCTCTCCGTCCCTGGTTTGTCCTTCGGCACGTCTCCTCTCTTCTGTGCCGGTTTCTTCAGTTTCTTATTGCGCGCTGTGCTGATGGTCTCGGCGCTGTGTTTGGGCAACAACTGAAACACAACACTTGTGGATTTACTGACATTCAAGTCCATTTTTTTAACCACACTGTATTATATTCTTCAACCTAAAACCAGACTACTTTCATTCTACTGCACCTTCTCGTTTAGGTTACACTGTTCGGCACATATCTCCAGCACAACCGTACACGTCTGACGGGAGATCTCCTCCAGGAACGCCACACACAGCTTCAAGCTTTGCTTCTCCATCTCTTCCGTCTAGCCCACACACACACACACACACACACACACACACACACACAACAACCATATGACAGAACATCATTCAATGTGAAAATGATCTATTGAAGGGATAGTCTACAAATTCTGTCCTCATTCACTCCGCCTCACGTTGTTTCTAACCTGTGTGAATCAAGAGATTTTGAACCTAGTTTGTAACCTAACCATGTTGGGGCGTTTAGGGCCAGAACTGTTTCCCACATTCTTCAAAATACAGTATATTCCTTTGTGTTCAACAGAACAAAAACATTTAAATAGATTTGGAAGAACTTGAGGGAGAGTAAATCATTTTTTTCAGTGAAATATCTCTTTCATTTTCCTGATTATGGTATATTATGGTAGTTTCAGGCTCTTCTAGAACAGGTTTTCCTGCTTGAATGTTGATTATTTCTGCATATACTCCATTGTTGCGGCTCCTCTCTTCCCAGTCTGTCAGTATCACTCTGTTTACTTCCTGTCTCTATGAAGCCCCTCCTCCTGAAAAGCACACTGTGCTCTGATTGGTCAGCTGGTGCAGTGTGTTGTGATTGGTCGAGCGCTTCGAGTGTGTTTGGGAAATGTCCCGCCCCTCTCCATAACCGCCAGTTTAACACGCTAGGCCCCGCCCCTAACTCAACCAGGCCCCGCCCCTTTCTTCTGCGTATGAATTATTATAATGAGACGTATTTGTTCCCGGAAGAAACTCAAGAAGTCCCTGAAGGCACTGACCTCCTCCGGACAGAGTGGATGGAGACTCTGGCTGAAGTGTGAGCAGACGAGAGGGAACGCCATCAGGTACCGTTGCATAGACACGTCCTCGCCGCTCTGAGAGAACATCTTCTCAAACACACGCGAGTGGAAACTGAAGATCACAGGCAGCAGAAATCAAGCGGAGTCCGTTTACTTTTATTAAAGCTCAGTGACGGGACATCTCAGAAGAGACTCACCAGAGGATGGAGAGATCGGCCGTCTCGCAGAGGAGCTCGTTCACCGTGTCCATCATCCGGGTGTGGAACTGGGCCATGTTCATGATCTTAGCGAGCTCAGGGTAATCCTTCAGAGCCAGAGACGCTTTACCCACACTGGTGTACGCCTGAAGAACACACACACACAACACCTGAACAACACACACAACACCTGAACACCACACACACAACACCTGAACAACACACACACACACACACACACACAACACCTGAAGAACACACACACAACACCTGAACAACACACACAACACCTGAACACCACACACACAACACCTGAAGAACACACACACACACACACACACACACACACCTGAAGAACACACACACAACACCTGAACAACCACACACAACACCTGAAGAACACACACACACACACACACAACACCTGAAGAACACACACACAACACCTGAACAACACACACACAACACCTGAAGAACACACACAATACCTGAAGAACACACACACAACACCTGAAGAACACACACACACAACACCTGAAGAACACACACACAACACCTGAACAACACACACACACACACACACACCTGAAGAACACACACACACACACACACACACACACAACACACACACACACACACACACACAACACCTGAACAACACACACACACAACACCTGAACAACACACACACACACACCTGAAGAACACACACAATACCTGAACAACACACACACACAACACCTGAACAACACACACACACACACAACACCTGAACAACACACACACACAACACCTAAAGAACACACACACACACAACACCTAAAGAACACACACACACACACAACACCTGAAGAACACACACACACAACACCTGAAGAACACACACACAACACCTGAACAACACACACACACACAACACCTGAAGAACACACACACACACACACACACACACGCACAACACCTGAACAACACACACACACAAACACCTGAACAACACACACACACACAACACCTGAAGAACACACACAATACCTGAACAACACACACACAACACCTGAACAACACACACACACACAACACCTGAACAACACACACACAACACCTAAAGAACACACACACACAACACCTAAAGAACACACACACACAACACCTGAAGAACACACACCTGCTCTACTGGGTGTTTGTCCTGCACGCTTAATAAACAAACTCCAGCTCGTCCAAAACGCAGCCGCTCCAGTTCATACCAGAACCAGGAAGTTTATTAGCCCGCTTCTGTCATTGGCTGCCTATTAAACGTCGTATAGAGAGCCTAAGTCCCGCCCCTTCCGGTCGACCACCATGGGACCTTATTTCGGAAAAATATTGAATGATAGTCAATGGCGAGAGACAACAAATATTTTGATCTGGTTTGAATTGTGCCCTGAATTACACATATGATGTTTGTCGATTTAAAAGATACATTTTAAAGTAAAGAAAGTCGCAGTTTGATGTGAAACCGTTGAGCTATAAGACTGTGAAAATACGGAATTACAAAGACTACAAACCCCAAAGGCGCACATTTTCTCTCAATGAATGAAGCGAACTTTACTGAGGCTGTCCGTCATTGTTTCTACAGTCTTGCGTTATAATCGTAACATTACGCCGTCATGCCTGAGTGTGTTGTACCAGACCGCACACACACGAGCAGTGGATCTCGTTTCTCTTCTGGGAGATGTAGTTCATAGAGCGATTTTCACATAAAACTAAATGTTACTCTTCTGTTGTATGACAAACTGCGACGTTTTTGACTTTCAGAATTATCTTTTTAATTGACAAACATCATATGTGTAATTGAGGGCACAGTTCAGACGGAATAAAAAGATAAGTTGTCTCTCGCCATTGACTACCATTCATATTTTTTTTTTAAATAAGGTCCCATGAGCCGGAAGCGGAGGGGCGGGACTTAGGCTCTCTATATATTTTAAAATATTGCTGATTACTCATAAAGCACTGAATGGTTTATCTCCAGTACTTGAGCGAGCTCTTAACGCATTATAGTCCTTCACGACTATTGCGATCTCTAAACTCCGGCCAGTTGATAATACCGAGAATATCTAAATCGACTGCAGGCGGGAGATCCTTTTCCTATTTAGCACCAAAACTCTGGAACAATCTTCCTAACAGTGTCCGGGAAGCAGACACACTCTGTCAGTTCAAATCTAGACTAAACACACATCTCTCCGGCCTAGCACACACACACACACACTATAGACTTCCTAAACTCAAATTAGGCTGCATAGATTAGATCAGCCGGAAGCGGGAACACGTCCCGTTAATCCTGATGTACTCGTTACGCTAATATCAGTTTCTCGGTTCATCCCGGCGTTTACTGCAGTCTGCCGGATCCAAATCTGATGCAGCAGGACCAGCGCCTGGACCCGACCACAACGATGTACACACACACACACACCAATGTACAAAAATAATGATTCCCGCTTTGATAAATATTATAGACGTATGAATGTACCTGAAGTCTTAACCAGTCCAGTCTGAACGGTTTCAGGTCAAACTCTTCTCCTGCATCCACTGGGACACACAAACACCAACGAATATTAAGAAAGCGAATAAAAGTGTGTGTCACAATTATATCTGAATTCCTGCTACACATTTTATCTAATATGCTGTCAGATGGCAGATAGAAGAAAGGGACTTTCATCTCATATCATATTTAAATTTATGAAATATACACTACCATTCAAAATTTTGGGAATACAGTTTTTTCCAATTGCTAACACACAATTTTGCAAACTAGTCTGGTTTTATAAAAATACTTTACACAATTCACAAAACCACACACCCAAACTGCAAAATACCTCATATATCCTGCAAAATGAAGCACTGCAACCGAAACTACACACAGCATTATCAAAATCAAACTTTTGCATGAACTGGCACACACTTCATTCATATTAGCAGATTTTTGCCTAAACAACTACACACTGTTGGGCATCATGAAAAGCACTCCTATCTGTAGTATGCTTTGCCATAATACTAAAATATGTATCAGATTGTTCACATGCACAGACACACACATGCTGTTGAAACTTCATTTTACAGTAATGTATTTTTTCACTACAGTAAACAAGTCAGTGTAACGTATCTGAAAAAGACACTTCCAGAAAATATATTACAGGGGAAAAAAAGTGGCAAGAAAAATAATTTTTATAGTTTTATAGTTTTTATAGCGCTTACATCCTGATTGAAGTGTTAACAATTAACCATTGAGGTGTTTGGCCAGATGGCACATTGTAATTAGCTCATTTAGTGTCATTTTGAATGGTAGTGTTTAGAAATGGCAAACATGTGACTTTATGTCAGATTGTTGTGTCGTATGCAGAGAACTGTGTTCAGTGCATTTAGAAAGTGGCATTTTGAAATGCAAAATGTGTGTAAAGCAGAAAATGTGTTTAGACTTTTGGAAACTTGAGAAGAAGTTTTGCTCTCTGTGTGTGCGTTTAAAGAATTGTGCTGTGCATGTCATTTTAGTGTGTTAGCAATTGGAAAAAACTGTAATAAGATGATTTAATATTTCTGAAAGAAGTCACTTCTGCTCACACACACACACACACACACACACACACTAATTCCCAGGGACTAATTCCCTAAACAGTTTTAAAGACACTGAACCTGCAAAACAAGGCAATCAATAACAATAATACCTTGAAAGTATTTGTTAGACAGCCATAAAAACAGGAATATTACACATTGCATGATTATATGATATATGTGTGTGTGCTGCCACGAGTGTGTTCAGAGCTCGAACTCGATGCATGTTGATGTGTGCGGAGGACAGAACTCACGGTGCTTCAGACTCATTGCAGAAAGAGTGGAGACGAATGACGACATGAGAACCGATTCTTCCTCCGGACACACACACATGCCCTGAAACCAGACGACGGGAGATGGATGAGGACGGCACATAAACGTCTGTGTGTGTGTGTGTTAGCGAGAGGACGGAGAGCCGCACCTGTATGGTGTCGTTGAGCACGAGCGCGTCGTACTGGGACAGGTACTGGAGATGGTAGCGCTGGAGGATGTATCTGTGCTGGACCAGAAGAACTCGCAGACGCTCCATGTGGAACAGCAGCTCTGCCAACTGTCTGCACCACACACACACACACACACACACACACACACACTATCAGCACCTGATAGGAAACTAACACTAGCGCTGCCAGTCTTCGAGTGGGGGTTCAATCTTCAACTGGCTGGCAGGAGCTGCCACTGGCAGGTCACGTGACCTGTCAGTGGCTGGCTATAGTTGTCTGTCAGTTCGCCTTTGGCAAGTTTCAGAAACCATTGATTTTTGACAGTTTTTGTGTTTTGTGTTCCTCCCTTTATAGCTCATGTATTATGAATCTGTTGAAATTATTGTTATTTAGTAGTAGGATCCCAATTTAACTAGTCAAATGGCCGTGATCAGACTGGCAGCTTACAGACGCTCATCCAGTCAGCCGCGGGTGATCAGCGAGTCTAATGCGTCGCCTGACACGCTCGCTAAAAGGAAATAAATTGTTTTCTTATTATGAATATAATGTCATGCCTTTATTCTTGTGTATGATTGGTGTTTTGGGGCCGTTTATCCCGATTAAACCAGTCAAATGGCCGTGATCAGGCACATTTGACTGGTTTAATCGGGACAACAGTACCCAAAACACCAATCATACACAAGAATAAATGCATGACATTATATTCATAATAAGAAAACAATTTATTTCCTTGTAGCGAGAGTGTCAGGCGACGCGTTAGACTCGCAGTCTCAGTCGCGGCTGACTGGATGAGCGTCTGTAAGCTGCCAGTCTGATCATGGCCAATTGACTGGTTAAATTGGAATAACAGTCCACGAAATAGCAATCATAAATAAAGAACATTATTCATATCACTAGATTCAAAAGGGAGGAACACAAAACACAAAAAACTGTCAAAAATCAATGGTTTCTGAAACTTGTAGCCAGCAACTGACAGGTCACGTGACCTGCCAGCCAGTTGAAGATCGAACCCCTACTGCAGTCTTCTAATCCAGAAAGCGAAACATAACACACATATGACCAATTCTTCAATTAGAGGCAATTTTACTATTTGAAATAAATAAAAAAATAAATAAATAAGCTAACTATGTTATAAAATATGATTTTTTTTCTCCAGATCTTGGGAAAGTGTGCACAGTTTGACTTGTGCTCAGGATGAAACTTACGAGTCTGCGTAATCCTCCGGTGTCTTGGTCTTCGGGATGTTGTCTGCGTGTCGCACGAGCCAGAGCACCTCATCGCGGGAGAACGACAGCGCCATGAACACGTATAACGCCTAGAACAACCACAGGCATCAGCACACGTGTCTATGGCAGCTGGCTTACGCCAAACACAGAACCTTCTCCTAACGCTCCCGAATGGTCCCATGAGGTTGTTTTTTGGGAACCAAACAAGAACGTTACAGGAATGTTCCATGTAGTTTATTTTTAGGTTCCATTTTTATAATGTAAGGAGAACATTCCCAGAACCTGCTTTATGCACAGCTGCACTACTTCCTGAACTTCAGCCAGCTCCTTGTTTCCTGTCTGCCATTATTGGACAATTTCATTAATCCAGGTGTAGCTGACCAGAGAACGTCTAATTGAAGAGAATTGGCACTGTCTGGTTACTTCCGGTTTCTGGCCTGGCTGCAGTAACGCGTCTCTGTCCATGCGGGGGCGCTCGCGGTCGAGTGCAGAATGAATGGGAGTCAATGGGGTTTCACCCACAGAAATCCACCTTTCTCAGGATGTAATTTTTTGTCGAGTAATTTGAAAGTTGCATTCAAAAGGGAGGGCTAAGATAATACACTCAGCTGAAAACTGCATTTTTAAGTTCACTTATCTGTTCTAAACATCCGTTCAAAACTGTGATGACGTCACACAATAGCAGAATGCTAGCGTGATCCGGCCAACAACGGCCTAACCTGTAAGAAATCAAAAGGACATAAGTACTCGTTCATTCGACTTTTGGCCTATAATCTATATTGAACTTGCGGAATCAACAATAAAATCTGTGTTAATTTAACGACAAGCAGGTGAAAGAGACACTTTTAGCCGTTTAGCCCCATAGACTCCCATTCATTCTGCTCTCGCCCGTGATCACCCCCAGTGGAATTCTGATGGAACTGCAACCAGGATGATCCACAATAGGGCTAATAGGAAGTGCCAAGGCTCTCCGTTAGATGGGCTCTGGCCTGACCTCAGTAGTCACGGCAACTATAATCAGACACACCTGAATTAATCAATGTGTCCAATAATGGCAGACAGGAAGTAGCACAGCTGTGCATAAAGCCCATAGCGACTTTTTTCTTTTATATCACAATTGCGTGATTTAAAGGCAGAATTGCGTGATATAAAGTCACAATTATCTTTGAAAGGTTTTATTCTGTGGTGGAATAGAGATCTGGGTTAACGTAATGAAAGAAAAGAGTGACTGAAACCTTGGGTCCGAGCAGCGCAGGCTCATCCTCCAGCACTTTGATGAGTTCTTTAAGAGCGTTCCTCAGAAAGCCTCGCTTCTCTCTCCGCACGGCTCCGCTGCAGAACAACACTTTCAGTTCTCTACCCGCTTCAGCTGTTCAGTACCCGCTGCTAACATGCCCGCTGTGAAGGCTAGACTGTGTGATGCAGAAACTTGTTCTCTTGTTCGATCTGTGTCAAGATTATCACGTGCCTTCCCAGCTAATGAACACATCCTGACAACGTTTTGCATTAAGTGACGTTTGTTTGGTTATGTGAACGTTAAGAGAACATTCACTTTTATCATTTTTCAAACATTACTTTTAAAATGTTCTCTGAACGTTCTGAAACAAGTTAAAAACATTGTATAAATAATATGATGTTGCTGGAAGAACATTTGTTCGTAACGTTCAAAACCTTGACAGAACGTTCCCTGTTGGCTGTTTTATTTTGAATGTCGAGGGCAATCTCTGATAATGACTGATTTCTTTCATCACTGAATTCGAAACAAGTTCAGACTTCAGATGCTCACCAGTTAGCGATGACGTACTCTTTACATTCCTTGATGTCGGGAATACGCTTATTGTACCTGGAAAAGAACATGATAAGAATGAAACATGATGAGAAACACGAGTGAACTCATGAGAGTCGTGAGCGTTACCCTTTGAGACTGTCGAAGAGTTCCTCGGAGAGCTTGTGTATGTGGAGCACCTCGTCTCGGACCACCGTCACGTACAGCCCACTGCGCAGAGCCAGCTTCCACAAACTCTGAGATCCGGCGTTACTGTTCAGACTCCCGTGGCACAGCAGGAACCCGACTGGACAACACAACTACACATCAACACAACTACACAACTACACAACTACACATCAACACAACTACACAACTACACAACAACACAACTACACAACTACACATCAACACAACTACACAACTACACAACAACACATCAACACAACTACACAACAACACAACTACACATCAACACAACTACACAACTACACATCAACACAACTACACAACTACACAACAACACAACTACACATCAACACAACTACACAACTACACGTCAACACAACTACACATCAACACAACTACACATCAACACAACTACACAACTACACAACAACACAACTACACATCTACACAACAACACAACTACACAACTACACAACTACACGTCAACACAACTACACATCAACACAACTACACATCAACACAACTACACATCAACACAACTACACGTCAACAACAACACAACTACACGTCAACACAACTACACATCAACACAACTACACAACTACACATCAACACAACTACACATCAACACAACTACACAACTACACGTCAACACAACCCCCGACTGGACAACACAACTACACATCAACACAACAACACAACTACACGTCAACACAACTACACGTCAACAACAACACAACTACACGTCAACACAACTACACATCAACACAACTACACAACTACACATCTACACAACAACACAACTACACAACTACACAACTACACGTCAACACAACTACACATCAACACAACTACACATCAACACAACTACACATCAACACAACTACACGTCAACAACAACACAACTACACGTCAACACAACTACACATCAACACAACTACACATCAACACAACTACACATCAACACAACTACACAACTACACGTCAACACAACCCCCGACTGGACAACACAACTACACATCAACACAACAACACAACAACACAACTACACGTCAACACAACTACACGTCAACAACAACACAACTACACGTCAACACAACTACACATCAACACAACTACACAACTACACATCAACACAACTACACATCAACACAACTACACAACTACACGTCAACACAACCCCCGACTGGACAACACAACTACACATCAACACAACAACACAACTACACGTCAACACAACTACACGTCAACACAACTACACAACTACACGTCAACACAACTACACAACAACACAACTACACATCAACACAACTACACATCAACACAACTACACAACTACACGTCAACACAACCCCCGACTGGACAACACAACTACACATCAACACAACAACACAACTACACGTCAACACAACTACACTTCAACACAACTACACAACTACACGTCAACACAACTACACAACAACACAACTACACATCAACAACAACACAACTACACGTCAACACAACTACACGTCAACACAACTACACAACTACACATCAACACAACTACACATCAACACAACTACACGTCAACAACAACACAACTACACATCAACACAACCCCCGACTGGACAACACAACTACACATCAACATAACTACACATCAACACAACTACACATCAACAACAACACAACTACACGTCAACACAACTACACATCAACACAACAACACAACTACACATCAACACAACAACACAACTACACGTCAACACAACAACACAACTACACGTCAACACAACTACACATCAACACAACAACACAACTACACGTCAACACAACTACACATCAACACAACTACACGTCAACACAACTACACGTCAACACAACTACACAACAACACAACTACACAACACAACTACACATCAACACAACTACACATCAACACAACTACACATCAACACAACTACACATCAACACATCAACACAACTACACATCAACACAACTACACAACAACACAACCCCCGACTGGACAACACAACTACACATCAACATAACTACACATCAACACAACTACACATCAACAACAACACAACTACACGTCAACACAACTACACATCAACACAACAACACAACTACACGTCAACACAACTACACATCAACACAACAACACAACTACACGTCAACACAACAACACAACTACATGTCAACACAACTACACATCAACACAACAACACAACTACACGTCAACACAACTACACAACAACACAACAACACAACTACACATCAACACAACTACACATCAACACATCAACACAACTACACATCAACACAACTACACAACAACACATCAACACAACTACACATCAACACAACTACACAACAACACATCAACACAACTACACATCAACACAACTACACATCAACACAACTACACAACTACACGTCAACACAACTACACATCAACACAACTACACATCAACACAACTACACATCAACACATCAACACAACTACACATCAACACAACTACACAACAACACATCAACACAACTACACGTCAACACAACTACACATCAACACAACTACACAACTACACAACCCCGACTGAGGAACACAACAACACAACTACACACAAGGTCATGTGAGCACTGACAGAGGGTTGTGTTTGTGAAAAGAGTGTGAGATGGTCTTGAGAGAGATGTCACTCACTGAGGATCCAGCGCTCCATCACCTCCATGGACAGAAACTCACAGGCCATCTACAAACAATGTTCAGTGTCAGTCTTTGATCACACAGACGCATGAGTTTACTGATGATGATGATGATGATGATGATGTGTGTATACGTACGGTGTCGCAGCAGATGGGGCTCAGCATGGCGGCGGGTGAGGCCAGCAGAGACAGGAGCTGAGCGCCGCGACACTGGTCAGCGGTCAGATTCCTCCGCGGATACACCAGGTGTAACGAGAGAAGAGCCTCCGTCACAGACTGACAACAGCACACACACACACACACACCTTATACATCCGACAGTCAATCTCGTATTTCTATACAGGATTCACCAGGTTAACACAAGCTCAACTGGGCCGTATGCACCAAACTCGAGAATCGCTCATAATAAGATTATACGGTCTACTAACACTCTTATTTGCCGAGGCATTAGTGGTGCGACGACTCCCTCGTGTCATGATTCGATACACATCACGATACCGAACTCACCATACCATATTATTGCCATACTTTAAGTCAAGACATGTTTGATAAAAGGTCTTTTTTTTTTACCGTTGATTAAAATCCTGAATTTGTTATTACACTGTGTGTGAATGAATCGTCTTGGACTTGGTGCTGAAACCCAAAGCAGAAGGCGATAGAGACACCAAATAACAATATTCATGATTCTGAAGCTGAAAATATGGACTAATTATAGACGAATGCTTTCACTGTCACTGACTGGATATATTTACAATAATGTAGGACACTTTTACCGGTAACATCAGACATATGGCATTATCTGGAGCCATACATTATTATACATTATATTAAAGCATTATACATAATAGTTTAATATTAGTATTGACACTAAAACTCTGTAAACGTGAATTTTTTCTCACACTGTATTTTTTATTTTGGGTGAACTATAAATGATACACATTTTCACTAACCAAGATACGTATTGATGTATATATTATTAATGTAGTTTAACTAGATGTACTAAAATAACTAAAACATGACACAAAAATCCTGAAATTAAAACAGATTATTAATCCTACTCAAATAGACTAAAATAACAAATCAGGAATATGATTTTGTTGTTTGCAGTGCCTGTGCCGTGATGGGAGTGAATGTGACTGACCTTGGTGTGAGGGCCGAACTCCTCCGACAGTTTCCTCCAGGGATGATCGTACTCCAGGAACATCTGGCCGAGGCGAGGGTACGAGGGATCGCTGCGGAGTCACGCTCCATGTTATTATATATTTCTAATATAACCCACACATAAACCTCAGTTGTGGGAAACAGCCGTCCATCCTGTGGAAGTTTGTGTCCGCCACAGAATAAAAATAAATACTTTTTTTCTCACAATTGCATGTTTATATCTTGCATATCTGATTTTATAACGCAGTCAGAATTGCATGAGATAATAGCGTGTTATGATGTATAAACGTGCAATTCAGACTTTTTTTCTCGAAATTAATTTTTATGGAGTGACGAAAACAAGCTTTGGTTTATTTGGTTTGAAAATTAAATTACGACACTCTGAAAACAAGTCAAATGTATTTGTTATTTAAATTTAAATGTGTGTGGATACACAGTATGTTTATACATAAACATATGCATAAAGACTCCAGGAAAAGCTATACTTCACCAAACTGTAAACTTCTATATCTAATAACACCTAATAATGTGTGTTGATGTATGTAACTGCATTAAAGCTCACAACTGATGTACTGTAAAGGAAATACTGGAGCTTGAAGACAACTATACGGACGGCTGAAACACACAAACAGGTGCACAAAGCAATCAGTAACCATAGCAACAAACAAGGGCACATCAGCATCATGTGATTTACCAGTTCATAAATCCTCTCCCGTTGCCTCATGGGACAGTAGTGTTCATCGTGCACACTTTTTCCTACTCTTGTGAATTCAGACATACTTGTTTTGTCACACACTGTTTTGCCTCCTACAACTATGTGATTTCAGATGTCTAAACGTGTGGTCACATGATCATGTTACCTGCTCCCATTGGACAGCTCATATGCACTGTTGTACATTCCCACAATCAGCTTCTTGTCATCGATGCGGGACAGCATGAAAATGACTGAGGCGTAGGTGACGATGAGATCCAGGTAGTTCTTGGTGAAGTCAGTATTTATGGTCTGAAAGCATTTATGAGCACAGATGAACATAAAACAGAGGAATATCTGCCTTATGAATTCCACAATCTCTTCAAGAGTCATACTTACGATGTCAAAGAAGCACTGGCAGGCATCTATTGTGTTGAGCAACTCATAAACATGATCCTACAGACAAAACATGTATAAATTCATTAAAAATACTGACACTAGAACAATAAGAGAAAATCATCAATTTTATTACAAAATACCACTGAAAGAATGACTCCTGATTTCAATACTTATTTGATATTTGTCATATTCCAATATTTCATTCATACACATTTACTAATTTAGTAGACGTTTGGCCATTGCTATCTTTAGTGTCCATCTAGTGGTTTGCTCCAGTGTTGGGGAAAGTTAGTTTTTATGGAAAGTAGTGAGTTGTGTTACTCTTTCTCCGCTGGCTGAGGCTTGATCTCAGAACTATCAGAACTTGCAGGTCTTTTTTGCAAGTGAAAAAAACTACACTTAATTGACTGTTGATCCAGTTGATGTGTCCAATGTATTTACAGTAACTAAATCAAAAAGTTATCTCAATTTTTGGGAGCAAGTAAAATTTTTAAAAGCCGGTGCAAAAATGAAACTACATACAAGAGTTGATTAGAGTGTAAAATTGCTGCCCAGCCATTTTACTATTATGACCAAGATGACGTTGACCGAGATCAGCTGACAGTCTTACCCTGAACTCCATGATGTCGATGAAGGACTCGTAGAAACTGTGCAGGCCCTCCAGAACGACCGCCTTATGCTTCTGTATGCTGCCCAGATGTTGCTGCAGAAACGCGGTGTGATGGAGGAAGAAAATAAGTAACACTTTACTTCAATAGTCCACTTAAGAGATTCTACGAAGTGCAAGTCATTCACATTTACATTCACTCATTTAGCTGACACTTTTATCCAAAGCGACTTACAATTGCTATATATGTCAGAGGTCGCACGCCTCTGGAGCAACTAGGGGTTAAGTGTCTTGCTCAGGGACACATTGGTGTCTCACAGTGGATTCGACCCCGGGTCTCTCACACCAAAGGCATGTGCCTGATCCACAGCACCATCACCACCAAATATGAAGCTATAGCAACTACATGCCAAATACCTCTCATTAGTGTATAAGCCGTCTGTCTGTTTAATATCTGCTAACTCTTTGTTGTGATGCTTCTCAACAGACATACTGGATATCAGTAAATTTATAACTACATGTCAACTTATTGTAAGCCGAACCTGACTAATAATCTACTAATACTCAAATAAGAGTTAGTTGACAAAGTACTTATACTGTAGCTATTTGAATGTATAAAGTGGACTATCAAAATAGTGTAACCAAATAATTATTTAACATTTGAGCAGTGAATCACAGCTGTTGTCTGTCAATACTCACACTGCCACCTCTGAAGTCAATGTTGGGGAATTTTCTGTTGATGTATTTGGTGGCAGACTCCATGCTTTTATCAGTAAAGAATGATGGTCTTCGCTTTGGGTCTGTGCATACCTGGAAAAACATATACATTAGTCAAAACACAGAATCCAAAATCACATTAAACAGATATACACTATCAGCCTGCTACAGTAGCCACTCCCCAAACTCTCCCTCTGCTACAGTAGCCACTCCCCAAACTCTCCCTCTGCTACAGTAGCCACTCCCCAAACTCTCAGTCTGCTACAGTAGCCACTCCCCAAACTCTCCCTCTGCTACAGTAGCCACTCCCCAAACTCTCCCTCTGCTACTGTAGCCACTCCCCAAACTCTCCCTCTGCTACAGTAGCCACTCCCCAAACTCTCAGTCTGATACAGTAGCCACTCCCCAAACTCTCAGTCTGATACAGTAGCCACTCCCCAAACTCTCCCTCTGCTACAGTAGCCACTCCCCAAACTCTCCCTCTGCTACAGTAGCCACTCCCCAAACTCTCAGTCTGATACAGTAGCCACTCCCCAAACTCTCCCTCTGCTACAGTAGCCACTCCCCAAACTCTCCCTCTGCTACAGTAGCCACTCCCCAAACTCTCCTTCTGCTACAGTAGCCACTCCCCAAACTCTCCTTCTGCTACAGTAGCCACTCCCCAAACTCACCCTCTGCTACAGTAGCCACTCCCCAAACTCTCCCTCTGCTACAGTAGCCACTTCCCAAACTCTCCTACTGCTACTGTAGCCACTCCCCAAACTCTCCCTCTGCTACAGTAGCCACTCCCCAAACTCTCCTTCTGCTACAGTAGCCACTCCCCAAACTCTCCCTCTGCTACAGTAGCCACTCCCCAAACTCTCCCTCTGCTACAGTAGCCACTCCCCAAACTCTCCTCTGCTACAGTAGCCACTCCCCAAACTCTCCCTCTGCTACAGTAGCCACTCCCCAAACTCTCCCTCTGCTACAGTAGCCACTCCCCAAACTCTCAGTCTGATACAGTAGCCACTCCCCAAACTCTCCTTCTGCTACAGTAGCCACTCCCCAAACTCTCCTTCTGCTACAGTAGCCACTCCCCAAACTCTCCCTCTGCTACAGTAGCCACTCCCCAAACTCTCCCTCTGCTACAGTAGCCACTCCCCAAACTCTCCCTCTGCTACAGTAGCCACTCCCCAAACTCTCCTTCTGCTACAGTAGCCACTCCCCAAACTCTCCCTTCTGCTACTGTAGCCACTCCCCAAACTCTCCCTCTGCTACTGTAGCCACTCCCCAAACTCTCCCTCTGCTACAGTAGCCACTCCCCAAACTCTCAGTCTGATACAGTAGCCACTCCCCAAACTCTCAGTCTGATACAGTAGCCACTCCCCAAACTCTCCCTCTGCTACAGTAGCCACTCCCCAAACTCTCCCTCTGCTACAGTAGCCACTCCCCAAACTCTCAGTCTGATACAGTAGCCACTCCCCAAACTCTCAGTCTGATACAGTAGCCACTCCCCAAACTCTCCTTCTGCTACAGTAGCCACTCCCCAAACTCTCCCTCTGCTACAGTAGCCACTCCCCAAACTCTCCTTCTGCTACAGTAGCCACTCCCCAAACTCTCCCTCTGCTACAGTAGCCACTCCCCAAACTCTCCTTCTGCTACAGTAGCCACTCCCCAAACTCTCCCTCTGCTACAGTAGCCACTCCCCAAACTCTCCCTCTGCTACAGTAGCCACTCCCCAAACTCTCCTTCTGCTACAGTAGCCACTCCCCAAACTCTCCCTTCTGCTACTGTAGCCACTCCCCAAACTCTCCCTCTGCTACTGTAGCCACTCCCCAAACTCTCCCTCTGCTACAGTAGCCACTCCCCAAACTCTCAGTCTGATACAGTAGCCACTCCCCAAACTCTCAGTCTGATACAGTAGCCACTCCCCAAACTCTCCCTCTGCTACAGTAGCCACTCCCCAAACTCTCCCTCTGCTACAGTAGCCACTCCCCAAACTCTCAGTCTGATACAGTAGCCACTCCCCAAACTCTCCCTCTGCTACAGTAGCCACTCCCCAAACTCTCCCTCTGCTACAGTAGCCACTCCCCAAACTCTCCTTCTGCTACAGTAGCCACTCCCCAAACTCTCCCTCTGCTACAGTAGCCACTCCCCAAACTCTCCCTCTGCTACAGTAGCCACTCCCCAAACTCTCCCTCTGCTACAGTAGCCACTCCCCAAACTCTCAGTCTGCTACAGTAGCCACTCCCCAAACTCTCCTTCTGCTACAGTAGCCACTCCCCAAACTCTCCTTCTGCTACAGTAGCCACTCCCCAAACTCTCCTTCTGCTACAGTAGCCACTCCCCAAACTCTCCTTCTGCTACAGTAGCCACTCCCCAAACTCTCCCTCTGCTACAGTAGCCACTCCCCAAACTCTCCCTCTGCTACAGTAGCCACTCCCCAAACTCTCCCTCTGCTACAGTAGCCACTCCCCAAACTCTCCTCTGCTACAGTAGCCACTCCCCAAACTCTCCCTCTGCTACAGTAGCCACTCCCCAAACTCTCCCTCTGCTACAGTAGCCACTCCCCAAACTCTCCCTCTGCTACAGTAGCCACTCCCCAAACTCTCCTTCTGCTACAGTAGCCACTCCCCAAACTCTCCCTCTGCTACAGTAGCCACTCCCCAAACTCTCCTTCTGCTACAGTAGCCACTCCCCAAACTCTCCTTCTGCTACAGTAGCCACTCCCCAAACTCTCCCTCTGCTACAGTAGCCACTCCCCAAACTTTCAGTCTGCTACAGTAGCCACTCCCCAAACTCTCCTTCTGCTACAGTAGCCACTCCCCAAACTCTCCTTCTGCTACAGTAGCCACTCCCCAAACTCTCCCTCTGCTACAGTAGCCACTCCCCAAACTCACCCTCTGCTACAGTAGCCACTCCCCAAACTCTCCTTCTGCTACAGTAGCCACTCCCCAAACTCTCCCTCTGCTACAGTAGCCACTCCCCAAACTCTCCTTCTGCTACAGTAGCCACTCCCCAAACTCTCCTACTGCTACAGTAGCCACTCCCCAAACTCTCCTACTGCTACTGTAGCCACTCCCCAAACTCTCCCTCTGCTACAGTAGCCACTCCCCAAACTCTCCTTCTGCTACAGTAGCCACTCCCCAAACTCTCCTACTGCTACTGTAGCCACTCCCCAAACTCTCAGTCTGCTACAGTAGCCACTCCCCAAACTCTCCTTCTGCTACAGTAGCCACTCCCCAAACTCTCCCTCTGCTACAGTAGCCACTCCCCAAACTCACCCTCTGCTACAGTAGCCACTCCCCAAACTCTCCTTCTGCTACAGTAGCCACTCCCCAAACTCTCCCTTCTGCTACTGTAGCCACTCCCCAAACTCTCCTTCTGCTACAGTAGCCACTCCCCAAACTCTCCCTCTGCTACAGTAGCCACTCCCCAAACTCTCAGTCTGCTACAGTAGCCACTCCCCAAACTCTCCTTCTGCTACAGTAGCCACTCCCCAAACTCTCAGTCTGCTACAGTAGCCACTCCCCAAACTCTCCCTCTGCTACAGTAGCCACTCCCCAAACTCTCCCTCTGCTACAGTAGCCACTCCCCAAACTCTCCTTCTGCTACAGTAGCCACTCCCCAAACTCTCCTACTGCTACTGTAGCCACTCCCCAAACTCTCCTTCTGCTACAGTAGCCACTCCCAAACTCTCAGTCTGCTACAGTAGCCACTCCCCAAACTCTCCCTCTGCTACAGTAGCCACTCCCCAAACTCTCCCTCTGCTACAGTAGCCACTCCCCAAACTCTCCCTCTGCTACAGTAGCCACTCCCCAAACTCCCGTGAATGACATACTAATTGTAGTCATGAACAATAAACAGTTGGATGGATTTAACATAAATCAAATATTTCAAGTCTCTTTCAAGCCTTTCTGTCAGACATTCTGAAGTGCACTCGGAAGTACATTCGGAAGGGCACATTTGTGATAAGTTTTTTCACCTCGCCTAGAGCTCTGATTAACCTTTGACCTTTACAGCCTGACCCACCGAGGAGACAAAGGCACTAAGAGGAGTCGTTCAGAGGATCTATTCTTTTATTTATATGCACTAAAGCTTGGGATTAGTTTTGACATTTGTAACTGCTTTCTGTGACAGACAGGAAATGCAGTGTGTGTGAGAGAGATGTGGTTTACAGAGAGGCCTGACAAGTCCTCTTTACTTCCTGTGTGCACTTCCTCTTTCTCTACAGAACTGAGACAGAACATACTTTCTTTTGAAAACATGTCAAAATACAATAAAATACTTTTAAAAGCCCTCTGAATAAAATGAACACAAACAACTTTTAAATCCCATCTGAATGATAAAAACAGACCCAAACCTGGACGATAAAAAACGTGAGATTTGAGCAGTTTGGTTCTACAAACAATTCAACAAGCAAAGCGGCAAACTGATGTGAATCTATCACATAAATTCACTGCAAGCTCACACAAACAAAATTCAGCCCTGCCTGTATTCATCTTTCTCGCAGGTTTGTGAATATTGATATTTTCCTCTCACCTTTTTAATGTAGTTCATCCTGACTAGAATTCCTTGACCTCGTTCATTGAGAATAATAAGTTTCTCGGCCAGTTTAAATTGGTAGGCCATGATCCCAGTCCAGATGAGATGATGAGAGGATCCTCAGTGAAACGAACTCTGGTCTCCAGAGAACAAGGAGAAGTGAAATCAACATTAGAGAGGGCGGAGCTTACAGAGCTTCCGCTGCTCACCAACCAAAACCATCAAATCAAATTCTGCTTTTTTTTAAATGGAATATTACATTTTATTGTAAATGGTTTATCGTGCACATCATTACTGTGTTAAATGTGTGTTCCTGGTAATCTTGAATCAGAATAACTTGCAGCATCCCTTCTCTTCTCTGATGACGAGGTCAGGACAACCTGACATCAGCCAATCACTCACATGAGATCAAATCAAATCACCTTTAATTATATAGCGCTTTTAGTTTTTACAATACAGATTATTCAAAGCAGCTTTACAGTGATAACAGGAAAATAATGCAACAAATTTTGCGTCTGCTGTACAGAAGATATAGAAGAAAAGAGCTTAAGTAAGTGATCAGTGATAGTTAACTTTTGACGTAAAAAAGTTATTCATTTAGTTGATTTATACGTAAACTGTGGTGTCATCGTCAAGCTCAGTTCAATTCTCATGTAATGGTGTCTATGCAGGAGATCAATAATATTTTTGAACATTAACGTCCCCAACTAAGGGGTCGAAGGTGACAGTGGCAAGAAGCCAAAACTCCATCAGTGACAGAATGGAGGGTGTGGCAAGGGGGGCGTGGTTTAGCGAGGTCTGCAACAAGAGGGAGAGCCGGAGGACCAGTAAGTCCCAGTAAACCGACCCGTCTCCCGTCCTTGCCCTACTCTGGACTTTACCACACTGGTGCCGAAACCAAGGAGGAAGAAGACCGCCAACATGGAAACTCTGTCAGCTTCGCCATCTGCAGAGGTAATCCATTCGCTCGCGGGCCTCCATCAAGAACAACACAAGGTGCTGCTGGACATGAGGGATGATCAGGAGAAACGCTTCCACGCCCTCGTCCAAGCCCAGCAGGAGGACCGCGACTTTCCAGTCTCGTGGGCCAGCGCAGTGGAGAAACGGATCGTGATAACGGGAACACAGCTAAGTCCCATAAGTAACCTAATCATGCAAAAAAAATTTGGAGTCTTCTCTAATTTGACAAGAATTAAAAGATCCTACATCACAGTAGGCAGTGAATTGTTTGCTCCCTGTGCCCCGATGCTGTCCATGTGCTGTCATTGCCAATGGAGTTTCCACCTGGCTTTACTGTCCATTTCTCTGCTCAGTGTTCATAACAGAACATGTGAATAAAAAGTCCTTTCTAGAAAGATAACACATCTAACATCAGTGAACTAAAGAAATAAATACAACATCAAGAATATAAATCATCCATACTTACAGTTGAGCAGAAACTCAGGGTTCTCAACAAAGGACTATAAACACAAGCCAGTTGGTAGCATGAGTTCAACCAAACATTGGATTTCCCTCTACCAAACGAACTGTCTTCCTCTATGGTAGGTGTGTTTATATACTAGGTTACCACCCGGCAATAGCACCCTCAAGTGGCTCTTGTTGTAACTACATGTGACCCAAAACATCACACTAGTGCCCCCGCAACAATAAAGTACAAGTAACAAGTTCTGTCCGTTACAATGTAAATGCAGTTGTAAAGAGTAGCTTTTTTTCAACGCTGATCTACACCATGCACTGATTTCCTCTCGATTGGACTACCTCAAACTACACTGTCTCGGTTACAGATGGTTCACAATTCAGGAATAACAGGAATTACGAAAAGGGATCATATCTCCCCTGTTCTTGCCTCAATGCATTGGCTACCAATAAAATTTAGAGTTGACTTTAAGACAATCTTTTTGCTACATAGTTCGGCCCCAGATTATATTTGTGATCTTATTAGGCCATACACAGCATCTACTGTAGGTCACTAAGACCTTGTGGTCACTTTTATCTGTCCCTCGCTCTCGGTGTAAGACAAAAGGTGATCAAGCTTTCTCTGTAGTCGCCCCAAAGCTCTGGAACAATTTAGGTTGTGCTAAACTTGTGCTCCACAAATCAAACTTGACTTGACCCGAGCCCAGCTGAGAGGTTCTGGACTGGCCAGCACTCATCCGTCCTCCGTTCCCTCTCTCTCTCCACCCCAATGCCTTGACCCACTTCCTGGCACCAGAGCAGCACAGAAGTCTGGGCCGGCCTGTTGGCGTTGTGGAGACCCAGTGTCCGGTCATGGAGGTGGGGACACTGATCTGGGTTCCGGACGCACCACAGGCTGCCCCCAATCAAGCTGGGTTACACCAAATACCTGTGAGTATTGAGGGGGGTTCATATCTGGCTTTGATGGATTCAGGATGTAACCAAACTTAGATCCATCAAAACAATCCTTGGCATTGGATCAGAGCCGCCTGGTTGTGCACTGTGATGTGGTGAATTATCTCATCATTCAATGAAGGGGACAAAAGCAGAGTGTGGAGGTGGTGATCAGCACCTCAAGACATCCTCTAATTTTGGGAACAAATTGGCCTCATTATTGACTAAAAGGAGTTAAAGTTATAGTCTTGGTTAAAGTGCTTTTGAAGTAAGGGATCGAATATTCAGCAACAGCGATAAAGGTCTGGAAAGGTCTAAAATATTGTAAACGCTTATTGAGAACACTTACCATAGCGGATCAGCGCAAGACAAAAACACACTTTAGAAGGATTGTTGTATTATTTAGATTTAGTTTATTTAAAAAACAAAAAAGTGGCTTTATAGTGTTTTTCTGTTCATGCAAACACATGAGCCTGTTCCTGGACACCCAACTCACAGAAGAGCTGACGGTCCAACCGGGCCAGATCTGGAGAACACTCCTTTCAGAGACCATTATTAGTTTCCATTTACTATATATATATATATTTATATATGTAAAAATGTATTTTTAAAATTCATATAATAATAAAAATAATACATTTTATTTATAATGCACTTTTCTAAAACCCAAAGTGCTAGAATATATATATATATTACATTTTAAAAATCAATTTGAAATTCCATATACACCTATAAAATGCTCCCAGTTCTCTCTCAGACTTGAACAAGTAACATTATTAAAGAACTGATAAAGAACTGAAGTGATGTTCTATTAATGTTCTCAGACTTAAACAAAAATATCTATTCCAACCTTTTTTCCTGATTTTTTTATATTGTTGCTACTGGTTTTAAAGAACATTGAAAAGTAACATTCCCTAAACTTTCACATAATAAAATGTGCATTTTTTTTAAATAAGCCGCAAATTTGACATCTTTCTTTTGACCAACGTAATCAGTCTCTCAACATGCTGTGAAAGAATATTGCAGTTTATTATAAATGATTTATCCATGTACATTTTTTATTCATTTGACTTCTCTTGAATCAAAAACGAAATCATACCAGAACAGCAGACTATCAACATGAGATCCAGATACAGGAAAGAGAAGAGTGTGTTCACACACAGAGACGCTGCATTAAACGAGTGTGTGTTCATACAGAGACAGACACGCTGCGTTCTCAAAGCATGGCTTTATTGTGTGTGTGGTATAAAGTCTTCATGAGAACATCTGCAACTATTTCGCCGCTGCCGCCGCCTTCCTCGCGATAGTCTTCGCCCCCTTCTTGTTGTGTTTCTTGGCAAAGCGCATGTTCCTCAGGAACTTCTGATCCACCTGTGACAGAAAGCCTGCATTTAAGCCCATGAACACACAGACTAACGTCACACACGTACAATACAGCGACGAGTGAAGAACCCACACAACTCCACAGTAGGGCTGCAACAAACGATTAATCTAACGAGTATTATAGCGATTAATCGTCGATTATTTCACCAACTAATCAGTAGGCTTGGAGCGATTGTTCAGATTTTTCAATTAGTTAAAACATTGAGTTATAAATATTCTTACTATAATAAAAAAAGAAAATCAGTTCAGCATTTGAAAGTTGTTTTAAAGGGGTAGTTCACCCAAAAATGAAAATTAAGTCATTAATTACTCACCCCCATGCTGTACCAACCCCGTAAGACCTTCGTTCGTCTTCGGAACACAAATGAAGATATTTTTGATTAAATTTGAGAGCTGGATAACTACCACATTGGCTCCTAAGGGACGACACTTGCTTATAGATTTCCACGACGCATGCGCGAGAATTGCGATCTGAAGTGGTGTAAGCAGATCGCAATTCTCGCGCATGCGTCGTGGAAATCTATAAGCAAGTCTTGTTTCTGGCCTACAAGGAAGAAAAGAAATAGTCGAATAAACTCGTTATTTTTGTTTGTTTTTTCGCACAAAAAAGTATTTGCGTCGCTTGATAAACATATAGTTGAGCCACGGTAGTCACTTGGGATATTTAAACATTTTCTTCATTGACTTTCTGGGCCGTCAAGAGGCAGTCCCTTAGGAGCCAATGTGGTAGTTATACAGCTCTCAAATTCAATCAAAAATATCTTCATTTGTGTCCCGAAGATGAACGAAGGTCTTACGGGGTTGGAACAGCATGGGGGTGAGTAATTAATGACTTAATTTTCATTTTTGGGTGAACTAACCCTTTAATAAACTTAGAGCCAACTAAACAGGTCATTCTCTTCAAGTGTTCAGATTTCACACACAAATGCTCTCTAAGTGTTTAACAGGACCTCTGCTTTTCTTAGAACCGAAACAGAAAAAGGGTAATTTACTTCAGGACACAAAGAACGGCCCGATCATTCCCTCGATCAAGCTTTATACTATGCAATATAAATCACATTCCTGTAATTACATTATTAGTTAGTTAGCTTCAGCTGGAGAACAGTCATTTCTTGTGTCAGGGTTGTCCTCTCCGACGTGCATGTCGTTCTCCCGTGAAAAGCAAGCTCCGCCTCGCATGTATTGCACACGACAGCACTGTTGCTTTGAAGTTTTGCACTGTTTTTCGGTTACCGCAATAGCATTTTTTAAAGGGCTGCATTACACTATAGCGCCACAGCGGTCAAATCGCGATATTGCAGAGCCTTACATTAGGTCACGCGAGAACAAACGACTACTCAACAACAGAGATACTTGAGAGCCCTACTCCACATGCTGTACCACATCGATGATCGTTATTTGATTCAGTCGAGACTCACAAGCTTAAACTTTGCTTCTAGATTTGTATAGATATGCGTTCATATATAATACTTTTAAAACAAGGTGTATTCATTTGAGCTCTGTGAACATTATTGGGCACGTTTCTTTGATTCACTTGCATTGAGATAGTAAGATATTTAGTTTCAGCTGCTGTGTTTACTCCCGCCTTCTAAACGCTTTTAACATCACGATCGACGAGTCAATCTGATCTGAATCTGCAGAAGAGACGCGGGCGTGAGGAGACGTGCTGATCCACACTGGCCGGATCGAGTCGGACGAGGTAGTGTTGCACGACACACCAATACTTCAAAAGTAGGGCTGCAACAAACGATTATTTTGATAATCAATTAATCTAACGATTATTAGAACGATTAATCGACTGATCAGACTACTTTGCCAGCTAATCATTAAGATTGGAATGCTTATTCAGCTTTTTCAATTAGTTAAAACATTGAGTTAATAATATAATAGAGTAAATTGAGTTATAATATACAAAAAGAAAATCAGTTCAGCTTTTGAAATAACTGAACTTAGAGCAAACTAAACAGGTCATTCTCTTCAAGTTTAACTCAAATCACACACAACTTCTCTCCAAGCATTGTTTAATAAGGAATGCTTTTCATAGAACTGAAACAGAAAAAAATGGTCATTACTTCAGGACACGAAAAGGGTCAAATATAAGGGGAACTTCTGTGCTATATAAATAAAAAAACTTGTTTTTTAATGTAATTTACTACAATATAAAGAGCAACACGAACAGGTTTAGTGCTGCACTCGGGCATCAGTTCTCCAGACGGGTCGCTCTCGGTGTTGCACATCTGTGCTCTCGGGAGTCTCTACAGTCACTTTTACAGCTGAATTTCAACTAGTTTATAATAGTATTGACAGATTATGATCATATTTCTATTCTTTAATTTTCTTAATGATGTTTAACACAGCAATTATCAGTTCAACACCGAGGTGTAGAAACTCTACACTGATTAACAGAAATCTGTGCTGATATCTGATTGGCCGATTCGGACGGGTGAACTCTACGCGGCTAACTTCAACGATAACACCGATGATCTATTGCGTTTACTGCGGTGTAACTGATGCGAGTGTGTGTCTCGCTCCTGCACCGCCTGGACTCGAACCCCTGACCGCGGTGTTGCAAGCCTTGAGCTACAGGAACTCCACATCTAAAACTGACATATGCGAATAACATTATAAATCTAAAGTGTAGCCGCTAAACATCAGGATCTGCAGATGAACAGCACTGAAGGCCAGACGTGCAGAGGACAGCTGGATCATCTTACCCCTTTCAGAGACTCGTAGCGCTGAGAGCGAGGCTTCTTGATGCCGTTCCTGTGCCACTTACGAGCTGCACACACACACACACAGAGAGATAGGGTCATTTAAACATCCACAGCATCTCACACACACAAATATCAACAACAGCATCTCACACTCCTTAAAACATCCACAGCATCTCTAACACACTCACATATCCACACATTACACACAAACAGCAACATCCACAGCATCACACGGTGTCAATAACACATCCACAGCATCTCACTCACTCACACACACACACCGAGCGAACACTTACACTGGTTGTGCGTGGTGTGATTCTTCGACTTGGCCATTTCTGATCAGTGTCTGCTAACAGAAAGACAGCAGTTAGAACCTCCTCACTCGAGCTAACACACAGAACCCTAACCCCGGCCTCAGCAGAACTTCAGTGAGAAACTACACTCGCTATCGAGCTAACATGCTAACGGATAACTAACTACAAACTCCACAATCCCGGCCCGCTCGCGCTCAATACTGCACTAGAGCTGCTTAATCAGTGTCACTGAACACGATACTGGACTGGTGTTACAATGAGGGTTTGCATTTCTAAGGATTCATTTGGATTTCATTTTGATATGGAGACAAACTCAATACCTGCTACACGAAGCGCACGACAACCGGAAAAGAGAGAGACAGCAAGGCATTGTGGGAGATAAGAGTCCCCATCACCGGATGTGAAGTTCCGAAAACACATGTAAACACAAATTATTTTATTTCTCGTTTAATTCATAAAACTATGGAATCCCATTTCAAACACATAAGAAAACAATCATGCTTTGGTAAATGATAAGTATACGACACAGAAGCACATAGACATATACACTAGACCTCACCTTGGATACGGCAGTTCATTGGAACGAATGCGTCAATAGAGCCGCCATCTTGAAACAGGGGAGCCCCTCCACTTTAATGCATCAGCGTCAATGTAGTAGACACAGGTCTAACGGAAATAAAATCATCACAAATCATCATGAATGCGATTTTTCTTGTTTTTTGGTTTGTTCCAACGGTCAGACATGTATTTATCATTGATTCCAGAAAGAATTTTTTTTTTAATTTTTTGTAAAACATTCTTCCTAGTTCAGATTTCATCCGTGAACTTCATACGCTGCACAAAAGTCCGCCACCATCAATGAATTCGAAGTAAAGGCAGAGATAGCAGCGTTACCTAGCTACTTCCTATGACAAGACCCCTGTTCCAAGATGGTGGCGGTTTTGACGCATGCTTAGAACCCCCAGGTGAGGTCTAGTGTATATGTCTGTGGCAGCAGATAAGATGCCAGAGCATTGTGGAGTATTTTCCTGTTCTAATCGCCGGACCACCGGCTTTTCACAAGTAGACCTGAGTGCAAAAATGGAGGCTCTAGCCCCTTCCAGAGCTGAGATATCGAAACTCAAAAATTCGGCCCGAAAAAAAAAACGACAGTGGTACCCCTTACGTTTTTTTTTTTTGGGCGAAAAATTAAGTTTCTCCAATCTTCCCAAAACTCTGGATTCTGATAGAGGGCCATGAGACTTAGACCTGAGTGCAAAAATGGAGGCTCTAGACCAGTGTTTCCCAACCCTGTTCCTGGCGGCACACCAACACTGCGCGTATTCTTTGTCTCCCTTATCAAACACACCTGATTCAACTCATCAGCTTATAATCAGATGGGTTAATGAGCTGATGAGTTGAATCAGGTGTGTTTTAGATTAGGGAGACAAAGAATACACGCAGTGTTGGTGTGCCGCCAGAGCTGAGATATTGAGATATGTAAAATGGCATAAATGCTGCATGGGATCTCAATATCTCCATTTTTGCACTCAGGTCTAAGTCTCTTGGCCCTCTATCAGAATGCAGAGTTTCAAGAAGATCAGAGGAACTCAAAATTTCGAAATTTTTTTTAGTTTTTTCGGGTCGAAATTTTGAGTTTCTCTGATCTTCTTGAAACTCTGCAATCTGTAAAACAAAAACCTCAAAATTATAGTTGAAATAGTATACTGCTGGAATTCTTTTGACCTTGAGAAAAAGCTTAAAGTATACACCAACAAATTTTATGTTTATTAATTTATTTCATGTTGGTACATTTTTGGAAAGTACACCTGTTTTGACCTGATGTCCATTGGAATGGGGAAGAAAAAAAATCACAATGAAAGCATTTATATAATTTTTTTTTTATTTGTTTTCATTTATAGAAACCTCATGAACTGGGAAAATGTACTTTTATATTTTTCAGAAACTTGAAACATAATTCAGGTTTGAGGGGGTTAAGATGCACTGGAAAAGGATGTATTTTTCTCTGTTTTAATTATGTTGTCATGATGATTAATAAATTAAAGTTGTATTTTTATGTAGATCATTCTCACAAATGCACTGATCACCATTATTTGCACAGAAAAAAAAAAAAATCGAAGTTTCTCAACACTGTTATTGTGCTGTACATCCCATATGCAGCACAATAACCGCCAACCAACCTCCCTCCGCCTCGTTCGCTACATACCCAATGAAATATGTGTCTGGTTGCTACATGTAAAATTCAAACATCTGCTAATATACAAATATTAAATCTAATTTGCTTCATGAAATAAAAGATCTGAAACCAAGCAGAGTTGAACTCGGCCGACGTAAGCTCGGCAGCAGAAGGGTTAATACATCACATCACTCACGTGAACACATTTAATCAGTGGCATCCTTTATTGACTCAAGATGCACAATATCCATGAATAAAATAAAAAAAATCTCATCTGTGATCAATGATAAATGCATTAACAATGGTAGCCTTGAATCTAAATTAAATTGGCATTAACAGCAGCTACAAAACTCTAGTCTGACATTGGCAATTAAGAAAAATTATTAATGAAAAAGCAATAAGCACAGAAAGCAGTTCAGCGAACACAACCATGTTACGGTATTATTAATGATGTGACGTTAATATTAAACATGTTCAGAGCGTGGGTAAGAAAGGCCCTTCCTATTGTGTCGAATATTAAATCAGATCATCGTTTAGAATGAGATTCGTTTCCACAGAACTCAAGCTTTAAATAAGACTTCAAAATCTACAGTCAAACCACATCAGCTCACTTTCCTGACGACATATTCAAAGCCCAGAAACAATTCTCAAAAATAAAGTTAAGACACCATATCCAATCACATTAAATGTAATCAAACTAATCATATTCAGGATGAAGCCGCTGCCGTGTTCAGCTCTCCGGAGATCACTTCTTCTCCTTCTTCTTATCCTACAGAACCAACACAATAAAGTCAGGATGGAAACGAACAGACGAGGCGACGGAGCGTTATGATGATAGCAATACCTTCTCGTTCATAGAGAGGATGATGACCAGCTTTCTGAAGATGGTCACGAAGTCCAGGAAGAGGTCCACACAATGCCTTCGTTCACAGAACAAAAACAGAGTCAAATTCATTCCCCTTCCTTCCTAACTTTATTGTGGTGGCTTCATTAAACTATGGATTTGATTTCTTTTAGTTACACTTTTACTCTTAACACTGATTTAAACTGGGGATGCGCTTCGCTTGTCCTTCATTCTTCAGTATCGGTGGACGTCAGCCCATGCTGGATACCAGTTTAAACCTTGGCATCTATACTGGCACCGTGTGTGCATAAAGCGTGCAGTAAACATGAACATGAGGAAAGCTCACCAGATGTAGTCTTTGTCTCCCATCTCTGCCTTCTCGATGATGAGCTGAGTGTCGAACAGCACAAACCCACACATGACCACCAGACCCAGATACAGATGAGCCTGAAACACAGCACACCGTTACACACACACACACACACACACACACACTGCTCCCTCACACGGTCACTCACACACCTTAAAGACTAAAGCGGAGGCGAAGAACATGTTGAGGACGGAGACGAGCAGGAGAACGGTCAGGGCGGACATCAGAGAGCCTAGAAGAGCAGGAGAGCACAGGTCAGGTGTGTGTGTGTGTGTGTGTGTGTGTGTGAGATCAGCACAGGTGTGGTGTTCACCTCCCAGGAACAGGTAACTCCTGCGCTGGGCGTAGAGCGCGCTCAGTGTGAAGCAGCCGAAGATCATGGAGGTGCCCAGGAACGCCGTCACGATGATGCTGGAACACATCAACACACACCGGGTCACACGGGTGTCACGTCACAATGCATCACAATACAAAAATGCAACAGTATGCATTGTGGATAGTCCACCTAAAATAAAAATTACTGTGTGAGGAAAAATTAAAAAGTTTTCAGAAATGTAGTGTCAGTTCTACATTAAACTATTATCTATAATGTTGAATATAATGACTAATACTGCAGTCCTGATAATGGGTCTTGTTGCTGGTTTATAGACTTAAAATACTCCATCATTTATGGCCATACAGACTTAAGAAATATGAAGAAACTGTTAAATGTCCATTTTATTATGTGTCCACTTACAATCGAAACAAAACTTTGTGCTTTTATAAAATGAAGAAAATAAACAGGATGTGCTTTCTGCCCGCTTTCTCTGGAGCACGTCTCCAAACTTAATACTATACTCACCCAGGCAAGAGCAGTATAATCATTTAAAATGAATTATTCTCAAATATATGCATTTATAGTGTCTATATAAACAAACAAATATATATATATAATTTCACTTAAATGGCAATAAAGATTATGAATTGTCATTTAAGTGAAATTACTGAACTTGATAAAAATCATCATTCTAGAAGAAAATTTCAAATGGCATTTAGAGGCTTTTGCATCTGAACTCTTCATATATATATATATTATAATGACATAATAACATGTACATTAATATGTATTAAATAGAATTGTGTGTATTTTATTAGACTAGAAAGCTGCAGTTCGCTGTCGCCATCTCTGTTCGAAATCTGCAATTGCACTTATTCGTGGAATTATCAACTTTGCGTGAGTTGTACTTCGGCAGTGTGTTTGAGGAGAGCATAGATATCCATATACATCTATATATTATATATAATAAAGGCTAGATGTGTTACGGCGGAGTCTCTATCGTCATCACTGTCACAGGCTCTGTGGTTCCTGATGTAAGATGAGGGATCAGCACGAACACAATCACTCTTGACAGATTTACAAACGGTTTGGTTTCTTACAAACGTTATTAATGTGGCTATAAATCTGGATGATTATTTATTTATACACGTATGATTCATTTGTGCAGTGTCATAATTACATCTCGGACGTTTATAACAAACCAACCCATTTAAAAAAAATTAGTAGAAAATTGAGCAAGATATTGTTATTTAAAAAGTCACGCATCATTAAAACGCAATGTTACGAGTGAGCGAGCTGCCTGTGGCAAGATGGCCGCCAGTGCGGATGTCGACCTCCAATGGCCAGCAGCGGACGAGACATCTAGCCTTTATTATGGATATCCCTGGAGGAGTGTGTGTGTGTGTGTGTGTGTGTGTCAGTCGCTGCCAGTGTGGATACTGCCATTCAGAATCACAGATTAGGAAGCATGAGCAACATAAGAATTTTTACTGGAAAATGTAATCTGAACGAGAAACATCCACTTGTGTTCTGGTTCTGTATAGTATAGTCGGCTAACGTTACAGTGAATCCGCGGTAAATGATGGGCATTTGTAGAGGGAGAAGCCGTCTGACTGTCTCGTTGCTCACAGTGTTTCTCCTCGCTAGAGCAGACGCGATTGCTTTGATCGTCTCGCTCAAGACATCCAGCGAGAAGCGCTTGAGTTCAGCGAACAACACAGATGTCAAGTTTAAACCAGTTTAGGGCAGATAAAACACCGCTGACAAAAAGGAGAAACACTGCGTGCAACGATCCAGTCGGAATCTGAATTGATACTGAATCCATTTAGCCTACCATGGATTTACTGTAAGGTTAGCCAAGTAATATTAACTGCACCATGAAATGTGGGATATACATATTTAATTGTATAATATTATTAATGTAGACAATTCATTAAATGTCTTATGGAATATAAGCACAGCATTTAATAATGTATTTAACTGTTAGGCCACTGTTTTCATTTAAATACCACAGAAACCATAAAGTTACATTTCGCCATGATAGTGAGGTGCTACTGTAAGTTATATAGGCTATGCCTTTTTTTTATCTGTGGTTATCATCATCTAAATGCATGAGACTGGATGACCAATGGTTAATTTTAATACAACTCAGTCAAAATATTATATTTTTCCAAATAAAAATGTGGTCGTTACATTAAAAAAAAAAAAAAAAACAGATGTTACTGTTTTTGTTAATGAACATAAATTTAACATTAGCTTAGTATTAGCTTGAGTTAGGATGCAGATTTACTGTCAACTCACTGTCAAATATGCATTTTGAGATAAAACATGTAATTTGAATATTGCAGCCTGCACTGCAAACTGCTGAAGAAATATTTTTTCTATTGAGATATTTATTTTAAGGAAAAATGTTTGAATGTTCTACCTCATATTTGTGAAATGTTCACCTGTTTGGCAAGTGTTTGTCATGATATGTTCTGACAATAAAGAGTAGTTTAAAACCACAATTTACACTCTGGTTAATACAACTTTCACTTAGGAGCAAAAATCTGCCTTTAAACTTGAAAGAAACAAAGATTTGACATATATTGTGATAATTATCGATATCGACTGATATAAAAAAAATTATCGTGATAATTTTTTTTGGCCATATCGCCCAGCCCTACTCACACGCAATACAGCCAACTAGCCGAGAGACTCTTCTTTATGTGCAAATGCTACATCACAATCTCTAACAATAGACACTTGATGAGTAATTGGGCGAATGCTAATATTGGTGAGAACAGTGACCCCGTGATCAGGAACATTACCTCGGGTCGATGCTGATGACGTAGTCCATGAGCGGCCCGAGTCCCAGACCTGTTGAACACACAGCGACGGGTTATGGTATTATATGACGTGTTGAACACATGATCAGGAAAGGAGCAGAGGTTTGATCAGCTGACCTGTGAAGAAAGCGAAAGCGGCCAGAATGGCGAGCCTCTTCTTCTCCGTTTGAGGACTGTGAGGAGTCATGGCCAGCCAACCCATCATGGCCAGCGACCCCAGCATAGTGATGCCACCCTGAAACACAACAGCAGGGGTGTGTGTGTGTGAGTGATCCCACTAGGGCTGGGTGATGTGACGATATTATTGTATATTGACAATGTCTCGCAAGTATCGCGAGATCGATATCGAAGTCTGTTTCCAGACGATAATCGGCAATAAAAAAAAAAAAGACAAACATATTTCACATAGCCCAATTTACATACACATATGACAAATATTTCTACCTAACCCAAAGCTCTAATGATTAATGCTCGTTCAAGCTCAAACTAACTGAATAAAACCTTTAATGTGCCAATCATTCAATTAAACTCGATGAATTCCTGGCTATCATTAGATAAAGTGCAGCCAAACTCAACTCAACGAGGCCGTTTACACCGGGCCACTTCATGCGTTTTCTCAGATCGGATTTATCAAACGATTGCATTTAGACCTGCTCACATAAATGTGTTTTTGCAAAACGGATATAAATCCAATCTTCAATTCCCGCGCTATATGCAGATTTAATGAAGTGCACGTCAGCGAAAGCACATATGAGCTCAGCTGCTCATCTGGGGTGATTCGTGTCGCAGTCGCGCTGTCATATCTGACTAAAATAACATGACATGTGGCCTATAACACGCGGCGGGGCGTGTTGGGGGCGGGGCTTGGGTAGACGATATAATCGGATATCGCGATCTTGTTTAAGGCGATTATCCATAAAATATTTTTTAAAATATCGCCCAGCCCTAGATCCCACCCCCTTAAACACAACATCAGGTGTGTGTGTGTGTGTGTGTGTGTGTGATCCCACCCTGAAACATCCCTGATAAAAGTCCATCCATCCATCCATCATATGCACTTTTATGTGTGATGCGAGTGTGAGTGAGTGAAGATAAACCCCGGGTGTACCTGAAACATGTGTGTGATGACATAGATGTAGGAGCCGGCGGTGGCCACCAGCATACACACCGCCAGACTGGCATACACACTCTTCAGGTGTTGCTGAGTCGAGCGCGAGCTGCCAGAGAAACACACTTCAGTCAACAGAACACACACTTATCATAGGACTCTAGTTATTGTAGAGTAGATAGAATGTGTAATCAGAAAAGCACATAACATCATGAACATCACACACACACACACACACACACACACACGGACACGTTTAAAGACACTTACATTTGAGAGAACTTGAAGAGAGCATCAAAGTTGATGCTGCGATCAAACACATTCATGTTTCCGTTGTTTCAGTCACAGGAGAACCTGCTGAAAGAGAACACACACACAGGAGTGAGCAGGAGTGTGTGTGTGTGTGTGTGTGTGGAGTAGGGCTGCAACAACTAATGGATAAAATCAATTATAATCGATTATGAAAATCATTCTCAACGAATGTCCTTATCGATTAGTTGATCTGATTACGTCACGGGGATTGTTTACTGGTGATTGGTTGAAACAGGCCAATCATGACGCTCTCTGTCTTACATGCGCGAGCGAGCGCTACACGGGCGGTTTGGAGCACATTATCGTCCGTCTCGCGCGCGCTCTTGATTCGGTGAGTTTGAACTGTGGGCATCAGGGACTGTGGGCACTTGTGTGTGTGTGTGTGTGTGTGTGTGTGTGTGTGTGTAGAGGAGTGTACAAGCGAGCGTGTACAAGCGCGCGTTTGTGTACAAGCTAGTGTGTATGAGAGTGTGTAGAAGCGAGTGTGTGTGACAGGGTATATACAAGCGAGTGTGTGTGATTGTGTAGAAGCGAGTTTGTGTGTGAGAGTGTGTACACGCGAGTGTGTGCGTGTGTACATGCAAGTGTGTGTAGAATCAAGCGAGAGTGTGTGTGAGAAAGTGTGTACAAGCGAGTGTGTGTAGAAGCAAGCGAGTGTGTGTATGCGAGTGTGTACAAGCGAGTGTTTGTGTACATGCGAGTATGTGTAGAAGCGAGAGTGTGTGTGTGTGTGAGCGTTGTATACAAGCGAGTGTGTAGAAGCGAGAGTGTGTGTATGTCGACAAGTCAGAAAAGGATATTTAACATGAGATTAAAACTAAATAAAAAATAATAGATTAAAAATTAACAGAAACACTAAAATCAAAGGAGTGTTGAAGGTCAGAGGTCATGTGACGTCACAGCAGCCAGTAGAGCAGAAACACTAATGAACTACACTGATCATTCAAGGCTCGCAGGAAATTATGTAATTCTGAAAGCATCATGTACTTTTCTAGGAGGTATTTATACTCAAAATGTTAATCACATGATCACGGTGCGTTTTAAAAACTAAACTGGTTTTCTAAAAGACCTGCGTATACAGCCTGACCTTTGACCTCATCATCTGACAGCAGCGCACAATCCTCACATTAGACAGGCTTGAGGGAATAAACTGGAGATTACGTGTGTTAGCCTTTACAAAACCCGTCTTTTCCCGTCCACACACACAGAGGAACAGCAGACAGATCGACACTGAACTCGCGGAGAGTGAAAGTAAAAGCTCAAACTCGCTTCGATGTAACGAGAGTAACGCCAGTGTTATACGGAACACACACTTCTGTTAACGTTACACACACTCCAAAACCTCACGAGCTTCCGTGCAATACACACACAGCTCGGGCTGCACGGATAATCGCGTTGATCGCAGAAGTTTGTCGAGTTTTGTTGTGTTTAATCGCGTTCAGTTCTCGGGCTCGACCGTGACGTGTTTCTTCGGGAGGTTTGTTTACGCGTCACGCGCTTCCCGCTCATCTGGTTATTATTCATCGTAAATATGATTTATCGACATTATATAAAGGTAGAGTTGATATATTTACCATAAGCTGTGAAAGTGTGTGTGTCTCCGTCGGTTGTTCCTGAAGGCCTGTGTATTCGGATCAACGCCTCTCTGTCACGTACAGCGCTTGCAAAACAACGAGACGTCACCAGCGTGATGACGTCACGCGCACGCTGCTCCTCGCTAGGCTGGCCCCCTACTGGAGCAGAGTGCAATGACGCTGAGCTTCCACTTTGAACCAGTGATCATCTCAGACATGTATTCTTTTTTTATCCATGCTGTTTTCATACAGTTTTGAAAAATCTTTTATATCATTTTCAAAAAAATAAAATAAAATAAAAATCCGTTACACAACAGTATCCCTCACACTTTTACACCTATTTCAGTTTTATTTTTTGTTTCTTTTGTAAACGTATCATTGATTGTTCATTTATTAAAATGAACTAACTTTATAAATTAGAGCTAATTTTAACACTAATCTAGATCTCAGAGAGACTATTCTTTTATCTTGTTAATAGGAAGCTGTTTCAGCCACAGAATTAAGCATTATAAAAGATAATTGTGGTTTTATCTCACAATTGCATGTTATAAAGTCAGAATTGCGAGAAATAAACTCAATAGTGACTTTATATCTTGCAATTGTGTGATTGTGTGCAATTACTTTTTTCATTTTTTTATTATGTGGCGAAAACAAGAGTTCATGTTGGTTTCATAAAGTTTTGAAAAATTTTTTATACCATTTTCAAAAAAAAAAAAACACACACACACAAACAGACTTTTACACTTTGAAACATTTGTTATGTTTTATTTAATAATTTGTTTGTTTTGTAAAATATAATGAAATCTTCATTCATAATTTTAAGTAACTTTATTAATATAAGTAACCTTGTTGCCATTCATGTCAATAAATGTTAAATTGAAACATCAAATTTCAAGAAAAAAAAAAATAAATAAAACAGAGATTTTAATAAGCATTGTAAATGAAACCTTATAACTTTTTTTACATAGTTTCACAATCTCATAATAACATTGTGATTCTATCAGAAATAATTAAAAATAACGCTTCATCTTGTGAATGAAAAATCTCTTAAAAATAATTAAAACTATAATAAAAATCCGATTAAAGGCCCATTCACCACATTGCCTCATTGTTTTGAAAATATCGTTTTCTTAAGGGAGAGATTATACACGAGTATTTTCTGTTCACGGATTAAAACACAACATTCAGTTTCAGAATAAAAACTTGAGAAAGGAAACTATAATTCATATAATAATCAACCAAAATAGTTTAAAAATATATATCATTCACTGTTTTTAAAGCTGTTAGGGTTTTATTATACGGAAGCTCCTGAGATTAAAATCGAAACATTTCGAGATTAAAGTCGAACAATTTCGAGAGTACGAGAATACAGTCTGGATGTTCTCGAAATGTTTTGACTTTAATTAGGCTAGATTTATTATTTTTTTAAATATTTTTTTAATAACATTTTCGGTTCAGGGCTTACGTAATATAAAAATATTAATGTCACTTGAAGCAAGAAAAATTTTAAGTATACATATTTAATATATGTTCTTCTTTTACTTCTCCCAAAAGACAGCATTAGCTGAACTGAAATATATGCGTATTGTATATGGAACATGAAAACTATTACACATTTACACTGTTAAGTTATGACAGAAGATGTAAATGAAGTTTCCTCTTTTAAAACAGTCCCTTGGCCTTCTTCAGCTCCTTCTGCTTCCACTGAGGGCAGCGCTCGAAGTCGGCCCTCGGCATCCCGAACACGGCCTGGAAGTCCTCGTCCGACAGGTGCTTCTGGAACACCACAAACAGAGACAGAAAAACTGAATGATTTGATCAATAAAATAATATTAACACTTCTATCAGTATATCAGCATACGGATAAAGTGACTACATATACCAGTATATTATCACATATTACATATGCATGAGAACAGCTCACACACACAGCTCTAAAGAAAGAAGAAACACACTTTTAATCAAATTTATTCAAATATTATAGTCAAATGTTTCTCTGTTTCCCTGAATGTGCTTTATGAGCATTAACAGCGATTTGCATTGAACGACAGTAAGGCTGATGAGTTGTAGCCTGGGTAGTGAGGGAGTGAGTGTGTGTGTGTGTCTGCGTGTGTGTGCGTGTGTGTCACACACTCGTAGATGGGCTAAATTGGTTAGGCAACAATGCATTTGCTTAAATGATTCATGAGAGACTTTGTGCAAATCTGACCAACCGCACAGGAACAATGTCTAACAACGAATGGAACAAAAAATGGCAATGCATGTCCTGGTAGTCTTATAAGGGAAGGCTGTGTGTGACTGGGCCGTGAAGCGTGTGTGTCATCAAGCCAGCAGTGTGACGAGATGTCAGAGGCGAGAGATGTCACGAACCGGGAACTAGAAAGCGTTTTCCACTAGGGGCTGTGTCTATACAGATCCATCTTGCGTCTCAAGCTCCGCTGGGACTACCAAGCCAAACCAAGTCAAGCAAAGCCGAGTCGAGTCGAGTCAAGCATCAAGTTGAGTCGAGTCGAGCCAAGTCAAGCCGAGCTGTGTCGATCCGGGCTGAGTCGAGGCTAATTGAGTCGAGTCAAGTCAAGTCAAGTCAAGTCAAGTGTCAAGTCGAGTTGAGTCAAGCCAAGCGTCAAGTTGAGCCGAGTCGAGTCGAGTCAAGCGAAGGCTGGCCGAGCCGTGTCAAGTCGAGTCGAGTGAAGTGTCATGTCGAGCCGAGTTGAGTCAAGTCGAGTCGAGTCGAGTCAAGACCAAGTCAAGTCGAGTCAAGCATCAAGTTGAGTCGAGTCGAGCAGAGTCGAGCCAAGTCAAGCCGAGCCGTGTCGATCCGGGCCGTGTCGAGTCGAGCCTAGTAGAGTCGAGGCTAATTGAGTCAAGTCAAGTCAAGTGTCAAGTCGAGTTGAGTTGAGCCAAGCCAAGTCAAGTCAAGCCTAGTGTCAAGTTGAGCCGAGTCGAGTCAAGTCAAGCGAAGGCAAGCCAAGCCGTGTCGAGTCGAGTCAAGCCAAGCATCAAGTTGAGTCGAGTCGAGTTGAATCAAGCGAAAGCAAGCCGAGCTGTGTCGAGCCGAGCTGTGTCGAGTCGAGTGAAGCGTCATGTCGAGCCGAGTCGTGTCGAGTCGAGTCAAGACAAGTTGAGTCAAGTCAAGCCAAGTGTCAAGTCGAGTCAAGTAAAGTCAAGCCGAGTCGAGTCGAGTCAAGCCGAGTCGAGTCGAGTCAAGCCGAGTCGAGTCGAGTCAAGTCAAGTGTCGAGTCGAGTCGAGTCAAGACAAGTTGAGTCAAGTCAAGCCAAGTGTCAAGTCGAGTCAAGTCAAGTGTCGAGTCGAGTCGAGTCAAGCCGAGTCGAATTAAGTGTCAAATCGAGCCGAGTCGAGTCGAGCCAAGCCACACCAAGCCAAGTCACCTTTATTTATGTAGTACTTTTTACAACACTGAGTGTTTCAAAGCAGCTTTACAGAGATAACAGGAAAATAATGCAACAAAGTTTGTTTCCAGAAGAAAATAGTGTCACAGTCCAGCTTCAGTAAGTTCAGTGATTGTTCATTTTTGTTGTAAAAAAGTTATTAATTCAATTAATTTATATATACAGCCGAGTATATATATATATATATATACAGCTCATCGCTCAAGACTTAATATCTGAAGTCATTTGCCTCTCAAGTAAATGTATCTTGATTTAAGGATGTTTTTCTATTCATACTATAAAACAGGTCGAAAATAATCAGTGAGAAATTAATGTTTTGCACTAGATTCGGGAGATTGATTTAGAGCAGGAATCCTCAAATAGTGGACTGTGATCCGGTTCTGGACCGGCTCGGATCCAGCCAGAACACAGACGCCACAGCTTTGGCTCTCGGGACCCAATGACCTCATCTTTAATGGTTATGATGCCTCTTTAGGGTTTTGAAGAAGTACTGAAGATGGAAACTCTACTATTGTCCGAATCTCTGCTGGGAAGGGAATCTAGAGACCAGATCTCTTGGAACTTCAGCTGATCACTCCTGATTCAGAGCAAAAGCACCAACTAGTGCTGCCCGAGTGTCTGTTCGAGCTCCGGAAAGCTGGGATATAATAAAGCGTAACGCACCTCTCTGTGTGCCGGGTCCACATCCTCGGGCAGTTCTCCAGCCAGTTTGTTCATCAGCATTTCCAGTGGATAATGTGTGACGCTTTCATTCTCTTCAACAGAGGATTCCTGTCAGGGGAAATTAACATTTTTTTGCAAATCTTTTATGCAAATCATGCAAATATGGACTGAAAAGTTTGTTATATTCTAAGGTAGATAAGATCATACAGAAACAACTTTAGTTGGCAATGTAATCTCTCCTAACTCCTCCTTCAGTTGCTCGTAGGTTTTGCCACCCTAATGCAAGAACAAAAGAGTTAAGAGGTTGTTCATCTGCAGAGAATGACTCCTTAGTGTGCTTGTAAACATTTTCTCTATGTTAATTCAATGGAAATCAAACCTACACTCCATTTGGTAGGGTCCCAGGCAGTGAACCACCCAGTGAAGGTAGGCGGCTCGAAGCCCTGCTTCACGATCATCACAGGAGTGTCGAGGTCTCGGGATCCAGGGTGAGTCCGCAGGTATTCCTGGCATGTTGTCACAGATTCCCGACGCTCCACATCATTTGCTTCATTTCCAATCCATAGAAATACCTAGAAGAACCCAACGCTGAAGTAAGGACTGCAAGGTTTGACAAGTGATTAAAGATCAAGGGCGCTATCACACACTCGGTGCAATGCAGCGCCAGGCTCGACACAAGTGTGTTTCGTTAGTTTTACCACATTGTTAAAATAGCAAATGCATTTGTGTCCATCTGTGGCCCATGGGCTGCTGAAGCAGGAGTGTGTTCAGGAGCATTGATGGACCATTGCTATTTTGAGGAACTGAAATACAGTAGAGCCATTGACCAACAAAACCTGGTCTAAAGTCAGTGGCGCAGTATTATTATTATTTTGTTATTTAAAGCAAAAAAAAAAATGGTAGTAATATGAGCCTATAGGCAAAATGAGCCTGGTTTCAAACAAAATCAGGCCAAAACAAAGTTTGTTTGGAGTTTGTTTCTTGAGTTTGAAACAGCTTGCCAAAGTAAACTTTCTGGAATAGTTCGCTTTGGC